GGAACCTGCGTGCTTCGAGGGTGGTCGGCCTAGCATGTATTACAGACTCCCCAGTAACAGCCAAGCAGCATTCAAAAACCGATCGATGTGTCGCAGGCATGGTGGCGGATAGCACTGCGCAGGTAGCAGTTGATGAGCAGATCAGCGCGACAGGGAGAGGTGGGCGCAGGACAGAGCGTCAGATGCGATGCGAGCTCGCACTGCTTGTGCCGCTTCGTTTCCATATTCCCCAATCAGAGCTTGCCTCTGTAGGGGTCCTAGCGGATATAAAGCTGAGGTGAGGTGAGCGGCCGATTTCGGTGGCCGGGTGCCCGGGGGTGCCCGGGGGTGCCCGGGGGTGCCCGGGTGCCCAGGTGTGTGGCCGATTTCGGTGGCCGGGGCCGGGTGCCCATGTGCCCGGGGGTGCCCGGGGGTGCCCGGGTGCCCGGGTGCCCAGGGGTGCCCCGGTGCCCGGGGGGCCCAGAAGTGCCCGGGGGCGCCTAGCCCAACAGCCTTGTATCCCAATAGCCCAATAGCCCAATCCCCCTGTATCCCTATAGCACTATAACCCTATAGCCCTATAGCCGTATAGCCCTATAGCCCCCATAGCCCCATAGCCCCATAGCCCCATAGCCCTATAGCCCTATAGCCTATAGCCCTGTGGTCCTAAAGCCCTATAGCCGTATATAGCCCTATAGCCCGAAAGCCCGAATAGCCTTATAGCCCTTAGCTCTCTAGCCCTACAGCCCTGTAGCCCTATAGCCCCATAGCCCTAAAGGCTTCCAGCCCTATATCCCTATGGCCACATCGCCCTATAGCCCTATAGCCCCATAGCCCTAAAGCCCTAAAGCCCCATAACACCCCAAAATTCTGATTGGGGTTTTTCTCTGGTATCATTTTTGTTTTTCTTCCGCAAAGTCTGTTTGTGCTTATCGATTGCGCCTGCCACGGCTGAGCATGCAGAGCTGCACGGCCAACATGGTGGAGTTAAGACGTTGAACGTGTGATTGGCATGGTGAGGATCATTCTAGACGCTTCGCGTAACCACACCAGCTCAAGCCGCTCTGGCTCGAGGTGCCGAGCCGGCTTGCGCCCTCGGGGGCCTGCCCCTGGCCCTCGGCCCCCCCTCTTGCGGAAGCGCGGACGGGGGCCTCCCCTCCGCGCTCCCGCCGCGCCCCGCTATGATGTCGCCGTCGGCGCGGCGGCGGCGGCAGCGGCGCGGGGCTGCCTGCCGCGCCGCCGCCGCTGCCGCCCCGGCTCGCCTGCGGCCCGCCGCCTGCGGCGGCCCCCCTGGCTTGGCTGCGGCGGCTGGCGCCACCGGCGCTGCCGCCCCCGCGGCCGCCGGCGACGGCGCCGCCGCCGCGGCTGCGGGCGCGGCGCGCCGCCGCCGCGGCCGCTGACGCCGCTGCCGCCTCCGTCGGGGCCGCTGACGCCGCCAGAGCCGCGCGCCGCACCGCCGCGGCCCCTGGCCCGCGTGCCCGGCCGCCTTCCCCGCCGCGGCCGCAGGGGCGGCGCGGCGGCCGCCGGCGCGCCCCTGCGGCCGCCGGCGCCGCGGCGCCGCCGCCGCCGCCGCCGCCGTGGCGGAGGCGGCCGCCGCGGCGGCCGCGGGCCACGCAGCCGGCGCCGCGGCCGCCGTGGCCCGCGCGGCCGCCCTTGGGCCCGCCGCCGCGGGCGCGCGCCGCGCGGCCGCCGCGGCCGCCGCGCCGCAGCAGCCGTTGGCGCGGCGGCGGCGGCCGCCGCGGCCGCGCAACAGCAGCAGCAGCCGCTGCAGCTGCACCTGCAGGAGCAGCAGCGGCAGCAGCGACAGCAGCAGCAACAACAGCCGCGGCAGCAGCCACAGCAGCCGCAGCAGCAGTGCCTGCAGCAGCAACCGCAGCTGCTGCAACTGCAGCCGCAACAGCAGCAACAGCAGCAGCCGCAGCAGCAGGGCAGCAGCAGCAGCAACAGCCCCAGCAGCAGCAGCAGCAGCAACAGAACCCAGCAGCAGCAGCCGCAGCTGCTGCAACTGCAGCCGCAACAGCGGCAACAGCAGCAGCCGCAGCAGCAGGGCAGCAGCAGCAGCAGCAGCAGCAGCAGCAACAGCCGCAGCAGCAGCAGCAACATAACCCAGCAGCAGCAGAACCCACGAGAAGACTCAGAGGTACCCTTGCTCCCTCTGCAGCAGCAGCAGCAGGGCAGATAAAAGGAGAGGGAGGTCGCGGCGGAATCGGCGGAGGCTGCGGAGGCCGCGGAGTATCAGGGGCCCGAAGCGGCGGAAGCCTCTGAAGGTGCGGAAGTGGCACAAGCCTTCACCCGTGTCTCTGGATTAGAACTGGGTGGGCAGGGGGTGGCCCCCGAAAGTGCTGACGGCAGCCGCAACAGTCAGCTAAGCGAGATCCCGGAACAGCAGGGGCTCGCCTGCCTCACCGCGCCCCCCCCGCCCCCCCCCTTCAAAACAATCAGACCGTCAGCAGTCTTCTGGGGGCGCCGCAGACCCAGCAGGGGGGCCGCGAACCAACCGTCCAGACGCAGGACAGCGAAG